GGGGGTGGAGGGCAGCCTGAAAGAAAAACATAGCATGGGGAGGGCTGGAGCATGACGAAGCACCTATCAGAAAACTCTGAGAAGAGGGGGTAGCCTGAAGACATAGGACGTTGAGGACAGAGGAGAGAAAGAAAGAAGGGAAGATGAGGGGCAGGATACAGTTATCCTGTAGGTCTACACAATCCCTGACGGGTTTGGCCAAAGAGGCATCTCAGACCATCTGCCACTGACCGCTGCCTATGAGGCAAACACACTTCTCCCATAGTTGAGGACCTAGACTGGGGAGCCCCAGATGGAGGTGACAAAGCATATAGGAAGTGTCCAGTCTAGATGGACTGGGAGACCCTTTCCCATCAGGGATCCAGGAGTGCTTTTAAAACTCACAAGGGTGGTACTTGCCCTCAGGATTGGAGCAGCAGGTGAATCATGGGAGAGGGAACCAGGAAGACATGGCTTACCTTTAGCAGGTGTTGGGCGGTATAGAAACCAGCTGGGCCACTGCCCACCACACAGATCTGGAGGTGCTGCTCCTGGGTGGAGAACCGCTGCCGGAAGCCTTTGTGGGAGGGAATGGGAAATGGGTGGGAGGTCAGATCAACACCCCCTCCCCACTTCCCAAACCAACAACAGTGTCAGAAGATGCAGCTTCCCAAGCTTCACCCCCAATTGCACTCTCCTCCTCTTTTTCCTCAAAGCCTTGGCGTTTGCAGGATCTCTTACTTCATCTGAACCCTCAAAGTCTGTGTCTTCATCCAGAGCCCTACGTTTCACCCATGAATGTATTATGCCTACTCAACACCCCCCATCACCCCTGAAGCTGCCTGCACAGCACTTCATTTTTCTTGCAAGGTTCCCCACCCAGCCAGCTAGAATACCACATCCTTCCAACCGGCTCCATATCCCAGTCTTGCTGGCGTGGACCCCCCCGCCATGCCCAACTGTGCCTCTTCTACCTACTCTCTCTCCACAGAATACTATATTGTCCATATAGACCCCTGTCATTCCTATAGACCCCTGTTTTACTTCGGACTTCCCTCTCGGCCCACAGACCTTCATATAACCCTCATTCACCTCTTCTCACACCTGTGCACCTCACAGTCTCCCCTTCTCACTTCTGTGGACTAACATCTCACCGCACAGGCCCCCGCCTGCCCCCGTACACCACGCCAATCTCGTCCGCATGAGATGACCTCTCCGGTCTCGCCCCTGGTCCCCTCTCACCCCTCTCCAGCCCTGCCCCAGTTCCGCCGACCCCCACACTTGGCGCTCGCAGGCCTCCCCGCGCAGCCATCCGGCCCTACAGGTGCCCTGCTCCTACTCGGGGTGCTCCCGGGGAGAGGCGGCCGGGTC